TGTACTACTGTAAATTGCTCCCTTTAAATCTGTTAATATTTGCTGTATATATGTGAGTGTACCTAGATTGGGCACATATTTATAAATATTTACAAATGTTATATCCTCATATTGGATTGGCCCCTTTATCATTATGTAATGCTCTTCTTTATTAGTCTTTGTCTTAAAGTCTATTTTGTCTAATATAATAAGTGTAGCTACCCTGGCTTTCATTTTATTTCCATTTGCATGGAATAGCTTTTTCTATCCCTTCACTTTCTGTCTGTGTGTATGTTCCTATATCTGAAGTGAGTTTCTTGTGGGCCTTATATAGATGGATATTGTTTTTTTAATCCATTTAGCCACTGTGTCTTTTGATTGGAAATTTAGTCCATTTACACTAAAAGTAATTGTTGATATAGATATGTCCTTATGGTCATTTTGTGAATTGGTTTCTGGCTCTTTTGTAGTTACTTTGTTCTTCTCTTGTACTCATTTGTGATTTGATGATTTTGTGTGTAGGTGGTTTACTTAGATTCCTTTCTCTTACTTACTATAGGTTTTTGTTTTGTGCTTACTGTGAGGCTTACATATAACAACTTAAGTTTGAATGCATTTTTTTAAAGTACTTTTTAAAAAAGATTTTATTTGAGAAAGCACAAGCAGGAGGAAGCACAGAGGGAGAAGCAAACCCCCAACGTGGGGCTGTATCCCAGGACCCCAAGATCATGACCCAAGGTGAAGGCAGACACCTGACTGAGCCACCCAGGCACTCCTGAATACATTCTTAAAGCTCTACATTTTTACTCTTCCCGCCATGTTCTGTTTTTGATGTCAATTTTTGTAACTTTTTGTCTATCCCTTTTTACTATTTATTAATTTTTATACTAATTAAGCTTTAAATTTAAATTAAGCTTTGTCAGTGTTTTAGTGATTATTGATTTTTAAATATTTGGGGGGCTTTTTTTTTAACCTGTTACAATTCTTTTATAGTCAGGGAATATCCTCTGTATGATTTCAATCCTTGGGAATATATAAAAACCCAACATTTGATTTTCTTGGTAAGTATTCCAAGTGCACTGTAGAGTTTGTTTCTGGTTCCACATTTATTTAAAGAGCTTAGAAGTCACCACTACATCCTATCAACAAGTAAAAAGCTGAACAGTTTGAAAGCAAAAAGAAGGAGCAGAAGCCAACACAGGAATCAGTGCTGGAGTAAGAAAACCTGAATTGTGATTGGCAAATTGCTGGAGGCTCGGCATGGACAAATCTGAGCATTAAACTCCAAGGAACCCAGTCATAATGGGGCGCCATAAACATTGTGAGATTTACATTCAGAAGCTTGGATAGGTTCCCACAGTAAATAGAAGAGGAAAACTCCTTTGTGCTTCCAGCAGCTAGGGGGTGTGTGTTGGGAGAGGGGTGGATGGAACAACTTTAAAATATGCCAAAGTACTCTGTTTTTAAGAAGGCCTGCCCTCAAAGGAAACCAGTTAACCAGAACCTGTCATGGAGGGAGGGACATACCCAACTCTAACCCACTCTAGCCATCCTGTCCCACCTAAGCAGGGAAGGAGCTACTGTGAAACGCTTGTAAAGTTGATAGTCTTGTGATACAGGCTCACTAAAAGACTGAGACCTAATCATAGACCTATAGCATACTTCTCCCTCTACCACATTACTAAAGGCCTATTTACAGCAGTTTCTTTGGTCCAGTACATTTCCAGCTATCAAAAAGTTACAAGCCATACTAAAAGGCAAAAAATACACAATTTGAAGAGACAGAGCATCCATCAGAACCAGACATAGCAGGGGTATTAGAATTATCAGACTGGGAATTTTAAACTACAATCAATATGGTAATGGCTCTAATGGATAGACAGCATGCAAGAAATTGTAGGCAATATAAGCAGAGAGAAATCCTAGGAACGAAAAAAATTCTAGAGGTAAAAAACAATAATAGAAATGAAAATGACTTTGGTCAGCTTATTAGACTGGACACAGCTGAGGAAAGAATCTCTGAGCCAGAGGATATATCAACAGACTACTCAAAAGCAAAGAGAACAAAGACTAGAAAACAAAAAAACCATATCCTAGGACTGTGGGACAACTGCAAAAGGTAGGACATATGTGTAATTGGAATGCCAAAAGAAGAAAGGAAAAATTTGAAATAATATTTTCCCCCAATGTCAGACAACAAATCACAGACTCAGGAAACTCAGAATACCAAAGAAGATAAATACCAGAAAAACTACACCTAGGTATATCATTTTCAAATTACAGAAAAAGATAAAATCCTGAAAGAAACCAGAGGGAAAAACATCTTAGCCTACAGAGGAAAAAAAATAAAGATTACATCCAACTGTTCAGAAACCATCTAAACAAGAAGAAAATAAACTATTTAGTATTGAGAGGAAAAAGTTACCAACCTAGAATTCTGTACTCTGCAAAACTATCCTTCAAAAGTGAAGGAGAACTTTTTCAGACAAACACAAATTAATGGAAGTTGTTGCCAGTAGACCTGCCTTGCCAGAAGTGTTAACATTTTTTCTTTAGAGAGAAGGAAAATAATACAAGTCAGAAACTCAGATCTAAATAAAGGAAGAACAATGAAGGAATAAGTAAAGGTAAAATAAAACTTCTTAACAGTTTGTTCAAAATTCCAACAATGTCTTTGATTATGCTATATATTAACATACTTAAGTGCAATGAATGACAGCAATGACATAAGGGACTGGAGGAAGGATTTTTGTGTTGTTATAAGGTCCTCACACTACCTGTGAAGTGTTATTTGAAAGTTGACTTGGATTAGCTGCAAATGTGTATTGCAAATTCTAGGACACCCACTAAAAAAAATATTTGTAAAAGAAATATAACCAATATGTAAGGAAGGAGGAAAAAAATGGAATCAGAGAAAATGCTCAATTAAAACACAAAACCAGAGAAAGAATGGAAGACAAAAATAGGAAAAAAGATCAAGTGCAACAAATAGAAAACTAATAAATATGATAGATATTAATATAACCATATCAATAATCACTCTGAATATCGGTCTAAATATACCAATTAAGAGATTGAGTGAATCAAAAAACAAGACCCAACTATATGTTATGTTCAGGAAACCCACCTTAAATATAAAGACACACATAGAATAAGCGCAAATGGATAGAGAAAAATTTATCATCCTAATCAAAAGAAAACATGAGTAGCTATCTAATTTTCAAAAGGAACAGACTTCAAAGCAAGGAAAGGTATCAGTGATAAAGAAGGACATTACATAATGACAAAGGGGTCAGTTCTCCAAGAAGATATAATAATCTAACAACAGAGCATCAAATTATGTGATGCAAAAAGAAACAGATGAGTCTAATCATCAAATGGACAGATCCAGCAGGCTGAAAAATCAGTAAGGATATAACTGAACTAAACAATACCAATCAACTGAAATATAGTTGGACATACATGGACTGCTTTATCCAACAACAGAATACAAATTCTTCTCAAGCTCACATGGAACATTCACCAAAATAGACCACATTCTGGGCCCTAAACACACCTTAACAAATTAAAAAAAAAAAAAATCATACAAGTCTTCTCTTGGACCACAATGTATCTAAACTAGAAATCAATAACAGAAAGATAACTGGAAAATCCTAAAATATATAGAGATTAAACAACACTTCTAAATAACGTATGGGTTAAGAAATCTCAAGATAAATTTTAAAATATTTTGAGCTAAATGAAAAAGCAACTTATCAAAATTTGTGAGATGCAGCAAAAACAGTGCTTAGAAGGAAATTTATAACATTAAATGCATATTAGAAAAGAAATATCTAAAAATAATCTAGGGGTACCTGGGTGGCTCAGTCTGTTGACCTTTGGCTTAGGTCAGGGTCTTGGGATCGAGTCCCTCATCGGGCTCCCTGCTCCATGGGGAGCCTCCTTCTCCCCCTTCTCCCCCTCTCTCTCTGTCTTTCATGAATAAAATCTTTTTTAAAAATTAAAATAAAATTAAATCAATAAGTTTCCACTTTATGAAACTAGAAAAAGAAGAGCAAATTAAGTCCAAAGTAAGCAGAAGAAAGGAAATAAGAATTAGAGCAGAAATCAATGAAATTAAAAACAGGAAATCAATAGAAAAAAAATCAATGAAGCCAAAATTTGGCTCTTTGAAAAGATCAATGAAATTGGTAAGATTCCAGCCTGGCTAACTAAAGGGGAAAAAAAGAGGACACAAATTACTAATATCAGAAATGAAAGAGGAGATCTCACTATAGGCCCCAAGAACATTTAGAAGGATAATAAATATTATCAACAACTATATGCCCACAAATTTGATACACTTTATGAAGGGACCAATTCCATGAAAGACACAATATGCCAAAACTTACACAAGAAATAGACAGTTGAATAGACCCAGATGCATTAAAGAAATGGGACCAATCAATAACCTTCCAAAACAGAAAGCAATAGGCCCAGGTGGCTGAATTCTAACAAACATTTAAGGAAGAAATTATACCAATTCTCTACAATCTCTTTCAGAGGATGGAAGCAGAGAGAATACTTCCTAACTCATACTATGAAACTAGCATTACCCAAATACCACACCAAAGACAAAGAAAGGGAAAAAAACAAAAAACTACAGAACAATATTTGTTACGAACATACATGTAAAATCCAAATTTTAGCAAATCAGGAGGAGTGATGTCAGCGTCATAACAGCATGTCTTTTTTTTCTTTCCCCTTCAATTTACAACTAATCACACATCCATAACCCAAAAAAGGGGCTTCTGCATACAAAAAAGTGACACCTAGGAGATCCAGGAACCTGTGTACCTCAGAGGAGGCTGAGGATCCAGGGGAGTGGTAGGCAGCAGCAAGCCAGCACAACATTTCTGGCAGTGGATGTGGAGAGTGAAAGTGGTGAGTGGGGGTCTACCTGGCCATACATGCTGCAGCTGGAGAAACTTGTTGCTCTGAGGAGAGATTACAGTGACTGGGGTGGGTAGGGAAAAGGAAGAAGGCAAAGAAAACTGAAGGAATGCATTTCCTGCCATCTGCTCTGGGATTATTGCAAGAAGACTGCCTGTGAACCTCAGGGAATCCCCACTACTGGAGGGTCCCCCTGTGGGGCTGTGGGCACACCCAAAGCCCCAAATATCAAACACACCTCCTACCTCCCCTGACTCTGTTGCCACTTTTTTTTTTTTTAAGATTTTATTTATTTATCTGACAGAGAGAGACGCGGCGAGAGAGGGAACACAAGCAGGGGGAGTGGGAGAGGGAGAAGCAGGCTTCCCGCCGAGCAGGGAGCCTGATGCGGGGCTCGATCGCAGGACCCTGGGATCATGACCTGAGTCGAAGGCAGATGCTTAACGACTGAGCCACTCAGGCGCCCCACCACTTTTTTTTTTTTTTTGAATGCTGCTCCCAATCTTACAAAGGAGTCAGTGCTGGTAAAAAGAAACTGAAAACTTGTGCTATCATGCCACCTTCTGGAAAACAAAAGGAAGGCTCCTAATTGTGGACTTAATTGAGCTGTTACAATCAAAACAAACAAAACCTTACCTACATATGAATGGTGTTTGTGCTACTTCAGATGTGGTGATAGAGGCACTTACCATCAAACACCATGAAAAATCACAGAAATATGGTATCACAAAAAGAAAATGAGAATTTTTCAGCAACTGAACCCAAAGACATGGAATGCTGTGATGACAAAGAACTCAAAATAGCTGTTATCAAGAAATTCAATAACATACAAGAAAATTCAGAGAGCAGTACAATGATCTCAAGAATAAAATTAAGGAACAGGAATACTTTACCAAAGAGATTGAAATTCTAAAAACAAAAATCAAATCCTGGAGCTAAAGAACTCAATACATGAGATGAAGAATGCATTAAAAAGCATTGGAAAGAGAGTAGATCAGTTGGACAAGAGAATAAGTGAGCTCAAAGATTGGAATACAGAAATGTTTTGGGTGGAAGAGGAGAAAGATTTTTTTTAAATGAAGAAACCCTAGGAAAACTTTCAAACTCCATTAGAAGAGCCAACACAAGATTAATGGTACACCAGTAGGAGAAAAGAGGGAAACAGGAGCAGAGAGCATATTTAACGAAATAATACCTGAGAACTTCCCAAACCTAGGGATGGAACTGGATATACAAGCCCATGAAGCTAATACAACACCTTATCTCAACACAAAAAGACCTCTAAGACACATTAAGTTAAAACTGTCCAAAGTTGATGATAAAAAAAATTTTTAAAGTAGGCAGGGGAATAAAGACAGTAACCTACAAAGGAACCCACTAGGCCATCAACAGATTTCTCAGCAGAAACTCTACAGGCCAGGTGAGAGTAGAATGATATATATTCAAAGTACCGAAAAATAAAAATTTCCAGCCAAAAAGACTATCTGGCAAGTTATCCTTCATATCTGAGGGAGAAATAAAGGCTTTCCCAGATAAACAAAAGCTGAGGGGGCTCACAATGACAAGACTGTCTTAAAGAAATGTTGAAGGGAGCTCTTCAAGGTGAAATGAAGAAAGTACACAAAATACTGATTAAGGTGATAGAATTAGAAAGCCATAGTCCTTTTTTGAATAGCATATTAAATAATTATAACAAAGGTAAAAGGAAAACAACATTTATAAAATATCATTACTATAACTTGGGAATAAAAATCACAGCATAAAAGAGATAATTTGTGGCACCAAAAACAAAAGGGAAAGAGTTAAAGGGTGAAAAAGGCAAATGAAGATAAATTGCTATCAGCCAAAAAATGGCTATTATATCTACAATAAGTTTTATGTAAACCTTAAGATAACCACAAAGCAAAATTCTAGAGCAGAAACACAAAACACAAAAAAAAAGGGAGTCTGAACAAATCACCATAGAAAGCCACAAACTTAACAAAGGTAGAAACAAGGGGGAAAAGCAATGCAGAAATAAAATAACCAGAAGGCAAAAGATAAAATGGCAGTAGTAAATCCTTACCAATCAATAATCTCCCTAAATGTAAATGGATTGAACTCACCAATCAAAATGAACAGAGTTGCTGGACAGATTAAAAAAGAAAAAAAGGACTCAACTATATGCTGTCTAATGGAGACTCATTTTAGTTCTAAAACCATACAGAGGCTCAAAATGAAATGATAAAAGATGATATTCCAAGCAAATGGAAACCAAAAGAAGGTGGGCATAATCTTACTTATATTTGACAAAATAGGCTTCCAGCAAAAAAGGGTAACAAGAAACAAAGTCATTAGATAATGATAAAGGGGTCAATACATATCAAGAAGATATGTATCAATATATCAAGAAGATATAACAATCATAAATATATACATTCCCAATACCTAAGCACCAAACTATATTGAGCAAATACTAACAGATCTTAAGAGAGAAATATACAACATTACAATAATGGTAGGGGACTTCAATACTCCACTATCAGCAATGGATAGAGTAAGCAGACAAAATCAACAAGGAAATGTTAGAATTGAGCCACACATTAAAACAAACGGATCTAACAAATATATACATAACATTACATTCAAGAGCAGCAGGATGCACATTCTTCTCAAGTGCACATGGAATATTCTCCAGGATAGATAGGACACAAAACATTTCTTAACAAATTTAAGAAGATTGAAACCATAATAACTATCTTTTCTGACCACAATGGTAAGAAAAGTGAGATCTACCAATATGTACAAACTAAACAACACACTTCTAAAAGCCAATGAGTCAAAGAAGAAAATAAAAGGGAAGTAAGGGGTACCTGGCTGGCTCAGTTGGTGGAAAGTGTGACTCTTGATCTCAGAGTAGTGAGTTCAAGCCCCACACTGGATAAGGAGCCTACCAAAAAAGAAAAGAAAAGAAATAAAAAACTATAACTAAAAAAATGAAAATAGAAATAAAACATATCAAATATGGGGTGCAATAAAAATAATTCTAGGGCGCCTGGGTGGCTCAGTTGGTTAAGCGACTGCCTTCGGCTCAGGTCATGATCCTGGGGTCCCGGGATCGAGTCCCACATCGGGCTCCCAGCTCAGCGGGGAGTCTGCTTCTCCCTCTGACCCTCTTCCCTCTCGTGCTCTTTCTCTCTCATTCTCTCTCTCTCTCAAATAAAAAAAAAATCTTTAAAAAAAAAATAATAATTCTAAAATTTCAGAGCAATAAACACATATATTAAGAAATTACAAATATCTTAACATAACTTTACACCTCAAGGAACTACAAAAGGAACGAATTAAGTTCAAAGTTAACAGAAGGAAAGAAATAATAAAGATCAGAATAGAAACAAATGAAATAGAGACCAGAAAAATAATGAAAAGGATCAACTAAGAGCTGGTACTTTGAAAAGATAGATAATTGACAAACCTTTAGGTAGAGTAAGAAAGAGAGAAAGAAGACTCAAAATGAGAAATGAAAGAGACGACATTACAACTGGCGCTACAAAAATACAAAGGATCATAACAGATTACTATGAACAATTATATGCCAGCAAATTACATAACCTTGAAGAAACTGATATAGTTCTACAAACATACAACCTACCAAAACTGAATCAGGAAGAAAAAAAAAAAAAAAAAAGACCAATAGTAAAGAGACTGGATCTATAATCAGAAAACTCCAGGACCAGATGGCTGCACTAGAGAATTCTACAGAACATTTAAAGAAATAACACCAATGTTCCTTGAACTTTTCCAAAATATCAAGGAGGAGGGAACACTTCCAAACTCATTCTATGAAGTCAGCATTATATTGATACCAAAACCAGATAAGGATGCCACGAAAAAAGTACAGACCAATATCCCTGATGAATATAGATGCAAAAATTCTCACCAAATATTAGCAAGCCAAATTGAAGAACACATTAAAAGGATTATATACCATGACGAAGTGGGATTTATCCCTGGGATGCAAGGATGGTCCAAGATATGCAAATCAATAAGTATAATGTATCACATACATAAAATGAAAGATAAAAAGCACATGATCATTTCAATAGGTAGAGAAAAAGCATTTGACAAAATATAACATCCTTTCATGATCGAAAACTCATAGCAGATTGGGTATAGAAAGAACTTACCTCAACATAATAAAGATTATATAAAACAAACCTACTGCTAACATATACTCAATGGAGAAAAATCGAAAGTGTTTCCTCTAAGATCAGGAACAAGACAAGGATGCCCACTCTCACCACTCCTATTCAACGTAGTACTGAAGTACTAGGTAGAGCAATTAGGCAAGACAAAGGAATAAAAGACATCCAAATCAAAAAACAGTAAAATTGTTACTATTTACTGATATGATCTTATATATAGAAAATTCCAAAAAGTTAGTCCAAAAACTGTTGGAATTAATCAATGATTTTAGTAAAGTGGCAGGATACAAAATCAACATACAGAAATCAGTTGCATTCCTTTGAACTAATGATGAACATCTGAAAAAGAAATAAAGAAAACTATCTCATTCACAGCATCGAAAACAATAAAATACTTAGGAATAAAGTTAACCAAGGAAGTAAAAAAATCTGTAGAATGAAAACTACAAGACTTTGCTGAAAGAAATGGAATAAGACACAAACAAATGGAAAGGCATCCATGTGTGTGGATCAGAAGAATTGTTAAAATGTCTATTCTACCCAAAGTCATCTACAGATTCAATGCAATCTCCATCAAAATACCAAAGGCATTCTTCACAGATATAAAAGAAAAGAAACAATCCTAAATTTTGTGTGGAACAATAAAAGACCCCATATAGCCAAAGCAATCCTGAGAAAAATGAACAAAGTCGAAGGTATTACATGTCCAGATTTCAAACCATACTACAAAGCCAAACTAATAAAAACAGTATGCTACTGGCACAATAACAGACACATTGACCAATGGAACAGAATAGAGAGCCCAGAATTAAATCCAAACATGTAAACTAATATTCAACAAGGAAACCAAGAACACCCAGTCGGAAAATTATAGTCTCTTCAAAAAAAGGTGCTGGGAAAACTGGAGAACACATGCAGAACAATATAATTGAACCACTGTCCCATACCACTCATAAAAATTAACTTAAAATGAATCAAAGACTTAAATATATACCTGATACCATAAAACTCATAGAAGAAAAATGTAAGGA